ATCTTTCACGCTTTTATTGCTATTAAGATATTTATCGGTTTCTTTTTTGAATATATTGAGGATAGAGTTTGTGGAGGTTAGTGGCTTGCTACCGACATGAATATTATCAACATGATAAGGAATAATCGTAATATTGTCTTTTAATTCAACAAATTTATAAAAATGGTCTCGACTATTATGAGAAGTGCCGTTATAAGGACAGGGCTCGAAAGAAAGATTTTCAACCCCACTAATTAAGTAAAATCCTGGCTTTTCAAAAGGAAAGTTGTCTAAAACGGGGTGATTGGGGTCAATTTCTAAACCTCAATACTCTTTCTCATTTTCTTTTCGCAAGAAAGAATGATAAACTTTCCCTCGTCGGCTTTCTCATTTTGGGCTACAATCCTCGGGAGGGATAAAGTCTCCGGCGATTCCCCTTCTTCCACCACCTCAATAACCTCAATAAAATAGTTGGGAATTACTGGCTAATTTTTGGTCTCTTTCTCATATCCGTTTCCGTTGTTGATTTTTTGTTCCTTGTTCAGCTTGTTGAATTAAACTAACTATTTCGTCGTAATCCTCTTTTTCTAACTCGTCAGGTCAAATTTCTCGCTCAATTAATTCAAATTTCTTCGAGCCAAAGGGTCAAGTTTTTTTTGTCTTTCGCTCATATTCCCTTATCTCTTCTTCCTCTTTTTCCTTTCTTTTGTTGAAATTTCTCTGAGAGTTTTCCCGAACGGCTTTTTCTATCTCTTTATTATCCAAATTTTTTCAATCTACTCAAATTTTATCGTTTCTCAACTGATAATCCCAAAAAAACCATCCTTTCCCTAATCTATTCTCATTTTCTAAGGCGTTTTTTAAATCTGCTTTAATTAAATTAGCAAGGATTTTTTTATTATTGTTTGACATATGCTTTTAAAATTATTATTAATTTATTTTGTATTTTTTTATTGCTATTTTCTATATACAATAGTTTTATACACTTTTTCTTAAAATAATTAATCCCTTTTTTGGTCCAGGAACCGCCCCCCGGACAAAAATAATTTTATTTTCGGGGTCTATCTTTTCGATTACTGCCGCTTGAGTAACTCTTTCATTACCCATTCGACCAGGCATTTTTTTGCCTTTGGGGATACCTTGATTAGTGCCACGGCCACCGCCCATGGAGCCAATTAAGCGATGGGGATAGCCACCACCATGGGACATAGACCCTAAGGCAAACCCATATTTTTTAATTACTCCGGCGGTGCCTTTACCTTTGGAAGTGCCAGTAATTTTAACTTTATCTCCGGCTTGAAAAAGTGACAAATCAATTTGGGAGCCAACTTCTAATCCCGCCATATCTCTTATTTCTCGCAAATGTTTTTTTAGCGGAACATTATTTTTTTTTAAATGCCCGACCAAAGGTTTAGTCAGACCTTTTTCTGAACCATCACCAAAAGCAATTTGACAAGCATTATAACCCTCTTTTTCTTCGGTTTTTACTTGGGAAATTACATTATTGCTCACCATGATGGGAGTGACTGGAATTAACAAACCTTCCTTGGTGGAAGAAATTATTTGGGTCATTTGCCACTTGTTTCCTAAGATGCCGATGGTTTTCATATATATTATTAATTTTAACTTTTTACTTTATTAGCATGCTACAGAACTAACCCGCCTAAAATGAGAATAACGTTAATCCTTTCTTTTCTTCAATAAAACAATAAAGCACAATAAGCCAACCACGAGAGCCGCAATTCCTAGTCCAATGGCTCAATTAAGTTTACTATTATCTTTTTCCGTATTGGTTGGACTTTCTGGTCGTTGTTTCCTTAATTCGGCTAATTCTTTTTCTTTTTCCTCCAATAATTTACGATTAGCATCTAATTCTTGCTCTTTAAGTTTTTTTTCAGCTTCACTCAATGATTGATTGGCTAATTGCTGTTCTAAGGCTTGATTTTTAGATTGTAATTGTTGCTTTTCTGCTTCCAATTTGCTTATTATACTGTTATTCGGTTGGGGGGAGTTAGGGATAGTGGGATGGCGGGAATTGTCTCTCTCTCTCTCTCTCTCTCTGCTTCTTCTATTTTTTTTTGTGCCTCTTCAAAAACTTTCAGAATATCCTCCCAAATAAATCCCACATTTTTTCATGCTTCCTCGGTCATTTTTGTGTCTTTTTCCCCTGGACAAATTTTGTTTATTGCTTCAAAAAAGTCAAAAATAAGAATGATAAAATCTCTGTTCTCTTCACTCATTTCTCGTAATAATTGATAATATTGCTTTTTATTTTTTAAAAGTTCCTCCCAAGTTTCTCAGCCTAACTTTTTCTTCCTTTCCCGATATTCCGCAAGAGCAAGCGGAGAAGCGGGGTTATAATAGCCACGGGTGATAACATGCTCTTTAACTTTATCTTTGATAGCAGATAAATCTTCCTTCAAAAGCCCTTCGACTGTTAGGCAAGAAGCCCAAAGAGCAAAAATATTTTCTTTCTCTATTTCGGAAAGCACAAGTCCAAAGAATTTTTCATCCTTTCTTTTTTCCTCCTCACTTTCATTTTTAAATTCAGGAGTAGTCATTAAACGAATGAAAAAGGTTAAAAATTGTTTCTTATAATTTTCAAATTCTTGTCTGGTAATTTTTGCCATATATTATTTTAACTTTTATTTTAAAGGGACAAACCGGACTGGAATAAGTTTTCTATATTCTATTTTACCTTGGGGAGTTTTATTTGCTAACATTAAATATTCTTCACTAGGACTTATTTCTAATGGCAAAATCATTTTTCCACCATTTTTTAATTGTTCTATCAATGGAGTAGGTATTTCTTGGGCTAAGGCGGTGATAATAATTTTATCAAAAGGAGCATATTCAGGTCAACCCATTTTCCCATCTCCCACTCGATATTTAATATTTTTATAACCTAATTTGTTTAGTACTTTTTGGGCTTGATGGGAAAGTTCTTGATATACCTCTACTGTATATACTTCTTTTGTTAATTGTGCCAATACGGCAGCCTGAAATCCGCTACCGGTGCCAATTTCTAGCACTTTATCAGTTTCTTTTAATTCTAATTTTTCAGTCATGTAAGCCACAATGAAAGGCTGGCTAATAGTTTGGTCGCACTCAATCGGCAATGGAGCATTAATATAAGCATTTTCCCTTAGTCCGGGGGCAATAAATAACTCCCGTGGTAAAAGACGAATTGTTTTTAATACTTTACTACTAGTAATGCCTTGGGTTTCTAATTCAGGATAAGGAACATTTTTTTTATTTTTCATGGAAAAGTCTAAGCATAAATATTCTATTTGATAATATAATTTAGCACTTTTTTAAAAGGAATTGATGAAAAATAATAATATGTCTAAGCCACGCTTTTTTACTGGCCTCCAAGCCACCGGCACCCTGACCTTGGGAAATTATTGTGGGGTAATTAGTCATATTTTAAAAATCCAAGACGATTACGAAGTAATTATTATGGTTGCCGATTTACATTCCTTAACTATTCCCAAACCTAACTTTGATTATCGCCAGAAAACTTACGAAATTGCCTCCCTTTTTTACGCTTGTGGTCTCAAAGAAGAAAATTGCAAAATATTTATTCAGTCGGAAATCCAAGAACATTTAGAACTAACCTGATTATTAGCCCCTTTTACTACGGTAAGTGAATTAAATAATATGATTCAATATAAAGAAAAAAAGAAAGAACAAGAAACTGGTAATTTAGCTTTGTTAGCCTATCCAGTTTTAATGGCAGCCGATATTTTTCTTTATGATGCGGATTTAATTATTGTCGGACAAGACCAAACCCAGCATCTTGAATTAGCCACCGACATCGCCCAAAAGTTTAATAATTTTTATGACAAAAAACTGCTAAAAATTCCCCAATTTACTATCCCTCGCTTTGGAGCCAAAATCATGGGACTAAAAAATCCGCAAAAAAAAATGTCAAAAAGCGAGAATGATTATATTGCTTTATTGGATAGCCCCGAAATGATAAAAAAAAAAATTAGCCAGGCCGAAACTGATAGTGAAAATAAAATTTATTATGACCCCGAAAAAAAACCAGGAGTTTCTAATTTATTAACCATTTATGCCTTATTAAGTGGCAAAGAAATAAAGGAGGTAGAAAAAGAATTAAGCAATTGTAATTATCACCAATTTAAGGTTAAACTTGCTGACTTACTTAACGAAAAATTGGGAGCCATTCAAAAAAGATATAATCACTACCTTTCTAATGTTGGGGAGATATTAGAAAATAATAATAAGTATCTGAAAGGTCTAGCCGAAACAAAAGTGAAGATAATTAAAAAAGAATTAAAAATATTATATTAATATTTCAACATTGATAATAATCGGTTTTACCGAAAAAGTTGAAAAATTATATAGCCAATTATTATGAAAGAAAAATTAAATCACCTTAGTAAAGAAGACAAAGAATTAATTCCTCGGCTGGAAAAGGATGTTAAAAATTAAAAAAGTCCTAAAAAAGAACTTTGAAGCGTTGAAATAATTTGCACTACTGAAGATATTAAGAAGAGTTTTATCGAAAAACCAAAAAAGAAAACGATAAGATATATAAATGAAAAAAGTAAAAATTAAATAATGAATGATTTATTATGAAAAGAGTTTTATTTAGATAAAATTGACCCCAGTTGAGAAAATTTTTTCCAGTCTGAGGTTCAAAAAGATTACTTCTTTCCTTTATTGGTTAGACTTGACGAAGAATATAAAAATTATAAATGTTGACCCAAAAAGGAGAATATTTTTCGTCTCTTTCGGGAAATTCCACCTGATAAAATTAAAGTGGTAATCTTAGGACAAGACCCTTACCACTTGCCGGAAGTAGCCGACGGAATTGCTTTTAGCACCCAAAAACCAAACTTTATACCCGCCAGTTTAAGAAATATTTTTGTGGAGTTCAGCAAGAACCTTAATTGTGCCCCTCCAAACAAAGGAAATTTACTTCCCTGGGTAAAGGAAGGAATCTTTTTAGTCAATACTGCCCTAACAGTGCGTGATGGGCAGGCCCTTTCCCATATGAGTTGGTGAAAAGAATTTATTTATTCTCTCCTCATTTACCTGAAAAACTATGATGAAAAATTAATTTGAGTATTTTGAGGGCAAAAAGCCAAAAAGATTGGCGAAGAATGTCAAATCAGTAGTGATTATAGTTTAACTAGTGCTCATCCTTCACCTTATAGTGCCGAACACGGTTTTTTTGGTTCACGGCCTTTTTCGAAAGTTAATCAACTGCTATCTAAGTTAGGAAAAGCACCCGTTAATTGATTATCCATTCTCCAACCAATTTTGGCAAA